TGTAGCTATCTTTTGAATAAAATAAAAATATCGAACGTATAAAAATGTGTAAAATACTTAGGTACTTACGTAAAATCTAGTTTTAATATTGATAATTTTATTTACACGTATAGCTGGTAATAATGAAAAATGTGTTGCAATTATTTAATTTTGATGCTAAAAAGTATATACATGATTCGACTGTGTAATGGAGCAACTGATTTTTTACAAATTTCGCAAGTTATAAGAGAATCATATACAAATTTATAATAATTGTTTTTAAATTCCCAAAAATGACAATATTTTAATATTGAAATGTAGATATGTAAAGAAAAAATACTTGAGTATTAAAAATGTTATTTAGTATTTATAAAGTCTGTATGGTAAATGGACATTTCCCCCCCCCCCCCCAGGAGATTTTCCCATGTTAATGTATTTAAATTACTCAGTAGTTTCCAAAAGCACCGAGAAAAAAAAAATTAAGGAAAAGTGAGAAATGTCGATTTTGGTTTTCAGTGTAACTAAAAAAAAATTACCTCAGATACATGACATTTTCACTGAATGTTTATATTAGCGTTTCTATATACCATAATACTTTCAAAATATTTTGACATATTATGTTGAGTTATTTATAGGTAGGCATATGAAATTTTCGATTATTATTAGTTTTTTGAAGTTAAACTTCTTATGTGAGGGGTATTGAAAAAAAAGAGAGTGACGCTCGGGCGTCACGGACGCTCGGGCGTCACGGACGCTCGGGCGTCACGGACGCTCGGACGCTCGGGCGTCACGGACGCTCGCGCGTCACGAAAACGGTACGATGTTTTGTTTATAAAGTTTTTGATATTTTCCGTTTCAATATTTTGTAATCTTTTTGGAAACATATCATATGATATTATAAACAAACCAGTATAAACGTATAAACCATGATAAAATAACATGGTATGATGGCAACGAACTGAATATCGTCGGAGTTTGCGCATTTCATTGTATCCAGTTCTCCTCATAATGCACTATGTATATATATTGATCATGAAAACCAATGAAAAGCGGCGAACTGGATACAGCTCTGTATGATGGTCGGCGGGGTAAGGGGTATGCGTATCATAAAGTTGCCAGCATACCATGTTATTTTATCATGGTATAAACAATATTCCGTAGTCAAGTTGATAAAAGCGAAAACGCATATATAATAAATATTCCAGAGTGCGCGATAATATAATATAATATAATATAATATACTATTTTTAGGTGAGTCAAATTATGTATATTCAAAATATAACTCGATGAATTTCATCATATTATATGACTATACTATAAGTATTTAATAAATAATAATAATAATAATAATAAATATTTAATTAATACTTGATTTCATCTACATATTTACCATTACCAACGTACCAATATGTTTCCTTTATACTTGGATAGAAAATGGTACAAGTACAATTATTTATATTATATATAAGTAACCTACATGTATACTTTGTAGAAGGTACCTACTTGATATATCATTATTAATACCATAAATATATATATACCATTAATTAACATAAGATTATTATTATTATTATTATTACAAAACCTCATATCAGTTGTATGACTGAAAGAAGTTTCACTTCATCCCCGCGTACTTCTTACACGCTCGACTTTTTTTTTTTTTTAATTAATGTCAATAAAAAAATATTTGTAGGTACGATCAAAAAACTTGAAAATTTAATACAAGGTTCCTCGTAAATTTTAGTTCATGAACATTTAAATGAAAGATAACCGTAAATCAACTATATTTTTTTATCAGTGCCTGAAGTGAGAATTTTGATAAAATTCGTAAGAATCAAGAAAGTTTGCAAATTATTTTGTGTTAGAAATTTATAAAAAATTTTATTTAGATATCTATGATTTGAAAATTGAATACAAGATTCCTCATAAGTTTTTCTACCTTAATCGAAAAAAAAATCTACAAGAAAGTCAAATTAAATTTTTATGAGCGTTTAAAATTCAATTTTTTACAAGATTGTATAATAATCAATCAATTTCTTATGGATTGGTTTTATTATTTAGTCGCAATTCAAAAACAAATACCTAACTGTATATACTTAAAATTTACACCATATCAGGGGCGTGCGAACGCGTAGGGGGGGTGTGGGTGAGGGTGTCATATCCCCATGAACTTTTTTTTTATGCTTAATTTATAGTTCTACGATAATTTCGGTTTACTCAAAAAAAAATGGAGAGTTTGTATCTGTTCATCCCCCCCTCTCATAGGAAAAAGCTGAGCACGCCACTGCAACATATTATATTTGTTTTATCATGTAAAAGTATTTAAAAAACAGTACCAACTAACATGTCATAATGTGACTATAAAACTATAGTCATATCTCCTATTACATCATCTGATTAAAGACATATACCTACCTACCTACGTACACATCAACTACATACAATTCATATTATGTAAGTGTGTATACAAATATATTATATTTCCAGCTGATTCTCATTATACAAGAAAAACAATTGTAAAACCAATAGGTACTTAGTATAAGACTTTCAATTACTAATATGCATCGTGTTTATGTTGAATTTCCGAATGATTCAAAGAACGAATAATTAATGTCAATAGGTACTCAGAATGTCACTCTGAGACAATATACTGATGTTTTAACGAATGTAATGTAGTATGAATTTTTTTAAACCAAAAAGGGATTTATGTAACCAATGTGAAAAATGTAAGCCAGCTAGTCTAGACAAAGAACAGTTATGGAAGACTGATTTAATGAATGAGGACATTTCTAGAGATAAAAAATAATATTGATAAGCAACAAAGTGAAATACGACTTGTGTGTAATCTACTAATATTTGATTATGAAAAAATTCCTTACTAGGCCTTAAGGTGAATAAAGTATAATACATTTTATTCTAAATTTTAATTATAATAGACAATTTCTAACATGTAATTATACAGTTATGATGTAGGTAAAAAAAAAGGATTGTTGGCTTATTGATGGTTGGTTTAATATGCATATTATAATTTATAATAATTAATACCTAGCTCGAGTAGAGCCAATATATTTTAAAAATAATTATACTATTTATGTATAGAAATACTAAATCTATATTAACATTTCAACATTTGGTGAAAGTTGCAAGTATCTGCGGGTATATAGATTTTGAATTAAATTATATATATTATATATTTAACGAGCAAATAGTGCATGTTAAAAATTCTGCCACTTTTCCCCCTCCCACCAAGACAGTTACCATTTGCTCACCGTTGCACTATACGCCTATACATCGTATTATATTATTAATTTAACGTACAGTGGTCAGTGAACTTATATTATGTACTTCCCCATATATGTATATTATAATATAGAGGCTACATAACAATAGGAAGATGTAGGACAATTGTAACATAACAATAACGTTAAATATAAGAACGCGGGATGTCTACACTGCAATATTTTATTTATTGGATTATTCATCATTAAATATTTACAAAACGTGTAGTTCTTCTGTACTATACAGTATACACAAATGATAACAAACACTCGTGTCATAAAATTAATCTTTGATACCTATCTATTTTGTTGGTTGGAAAATATTGACATTGATATTATGTAAATAATAGGTGCATAGTATAACTTCGGTATTTCGTTACAATATTACGTATAGTTATCATAGTTAGTATTAAATAACGGACATTAATGTACTAAAAAAGTTTAATATAATATAATACTCTATAAAATGTCAAAATATGTTTTATAACATTATGCTCTATAAAACGTAATTGTATGCTTATAAAATAATTAATATCAATTAAACTACCTATGCTAATAAAATAATAAATATTAATTATAATATATTTGCCAAAACATCGAAATATGCATTAAAGTATCATATTAATATAATATAGGTATTGATACAATAAAATCGATCGTGTATCGAGCCCTTGATATTTATTTATTTATAAATATTATGCTGTACCGAAATCGTACATAGTTGGCAACAACTCTTGTATCCGCTTGGACATTTTTCCATCCCAAAGCGCTTTCAATTTATTAAATTATTTTGATACCTTTTGTCGTTTTATTCACCTAACCTAATCCGCGCGTACCATGGTACAGAAATCTACGCGTGATTCGCCGCGGTGCTATTTCGTATTATTAATATTGTGATAACCACCGACGCGTCGACACAACGACGGCATCCGCCAGTTAATTGAGCAGATTGTAGATATTACAATAACAATATTTATAATATTATTAGCGATCGACGACAGTGCCGTTTATTGCGCAGCCAACGGCGACGAAAAGAGGTCATCGCCGCGGAATAAACAATAATACAAACAACGCGACGGCGGCGGCGGTCGGGTGTCGGGCCTAGTCGGCCGACCGGGTGTGTAGTACGGTCGGCGGCTGCTTGCGCGTGCGGTGTGTGGGTGCCGGGTGGGGCTTTACGAGTAAGTGGAAGCTCGGCGAGGCCGACATGTGCTCCCGCCGATGCCGAAGCGTGTCGCAATAACGTCGTGCCCGTGATGTGTTAATGCGTTATTGCGTGTGCATACGCTTATCTCTACTACTACTACTACTACTATTATTATTATTTTTAAAGTCGTCGGGCCGCAGCTGGTTTTATAATAATATAATATTCAACAGTACTGATCAACCACGTACACGGACGTTGTAACGTATTATAACTATAACATCATAGTATTGTTTTATACCTAATACTTTGCTGTCGCGCACGCTAATCGTCGACCGCCTAAATTGTTCTCCAGCAATCGCACACAACAATACAATATAATATTTTTTTTTTAAATAAAACCACCCACCCACCCACATACGAGTCCGTCTGCAGGAGATTCCTGGGTTTTCCGACGGCCGTTGCACATCACCCGTCGCACACGACGAATGGCGAAAAAATAATAATAACAACAATAATATTATAATCATCGCGGTTTACAACTCACCACTATCATCGCTGCCTGGTTGTATCTCAGCAGCAGAGGGGGTCACTGACCGATGGCGGCCACCACTACGGTCGGTTACGGAAGTGCCGAGCCCAAAGGGCCGTACGGCGGACGCTGCAGCGTCGATCCGCCTGACATCGAGGTAAGCTAGTTTCGTTGATGTTTTATGGTAATATTATAATATACACGAAGAGGAGATTCGGCCTCCAGAAACAAACTTTTATAAGTATGAGTGTATATAACTATCATAAGCACAACTAGAGGGGGCTCAAAATAAATTATTCATTTGTTTCGGGTTTCCTAAAATATAATAAATCTTTAAAAATTAAACTGTATTTCTTACTTTTTTTTTAATCAAACTAATTTTAATCAATCTAGAACTAAAAGCCCGACAGAAATACGTTAACTCAAAATTATCGGATTTCAATTCTGTAAAAAACATTTAAATTGAATAACGTTTTTTCTAGGTTATTGTGGAAGTCGATTTTAGAATAACTGTTTAACTTTCTTGAAAAAGATACTAAAGTAATTCAAAAATATTAAAAACTAAACTAACATTTAAGAACAGTTTTGAAAAAAATATCAAAACTCGATTTCCACAATAACCGAGAAAAAAGATTGATCAACTCAAATCTTTTTACAGAACTTAAATCTGATAATCTTAAGTATGCGTAATCTTGTCAGGCTTTTAGGTCTAAAACGTGAAATAAATACGCTGCTTCCAATCCTCTTAAGAAAAAAGTTATATTGTATTTCAAAAAACCTACTTACTTACCTACCTACCTATATATTTAAACTTTTAATACATATTTTTATAATATCTACATGATTTTGAATTTTCTTTTTCAATGATATATACTATGTAGGTATAGTGTATACGGTATACCCTAATACCTATACTAAAAGTATATATTTGTAATTAAATATTTACACTAATTATAGCGTTTAAAAAATGTGTTTATCAATTATTTACATGTTTTTGAGAGTACCTATTATAAACTAATATTGTAGTCCGTGGATTTTAATTTTACTTACCACAGATATCGTATACTATCAATATGAAAAATGAAATTTGAGTAAATCAATACAAATATTTTTGTTTGATTTTTTTATATTCTTACGTGAAAATATATGGGGGTGTGGGGGCAATGCCCCCACAGGTTACTTTTCATCAGGTGGGGACTAGAGCCCCCCCCAAACATTTTAACCCTAGTTGCGCAACTGATGCCTATATTTAAAGTCAATTCACATATGCCCGGTCCGTATCCGAATCGCCCTGTCAATGTCCGACGTTTTTACATTGTATGGCTTATATTTAATACTCTACTGACTACTTATTATTATATTATTATGGCGGTGTGTTAATTTCGGGGGCCATGACCAACTTTGGTTTTTTTTTCACAGGAGCTCCTCCGGTTGAACCCTAGACCTTTGGCCAACTGCCAATGGACAACCACTGTGGCCAACGATGCTGGTACGGCGGCGGGAGGAAAAGGAGTTGGATTGATGGCCGCCGCCGGATCCGGACTGGCCCGGGCAAGGGCTATAGTCAAGCCGTCTGCGGCAACGGTCATGGATCGCCATCACTACAAGCGCAATTCTTCGTATTCCGAGGTGTGTACACTTCACACCATATACTATTGAACGTGTATGGTTGTTTTTAAAACAGAAACCAGTAAAAACGTAACATAAAATTTATAGATATGTGATGTAGGTACATGCAGGTCTTTATTTAGACAATTTGCATGACAAAAAAAAATGTGCGGGAAAGGATATAGGTTATATAATATTAATATTCAATATGTCTATGGTTATACGGTTTTGACTTAAAACATTTAATTACAATATAGTTTTTGTTATCGTCGTATAGACGAACTTATAATAAATTACATTTTTTTTTCAAAGATAATAATATACTGCCTCTGTCTGTAATATGAGATAAGTACGTGATGATCAAACGAGTTCCTTGGTGGAATGATAACATAATATGTGTTATTAGTTGGATTCAACTTTCAAGCTAGGTATTTTAAAAATTGTATTTTATTCATTGAAATTGATGTCAATGAGCTGCAGGATGGCAAATATTGCAGGCAGTGTAGCTATATAAATTCAGAATATATATATTATAATATTATTATTACTTATTATAATATATTAGATAATACTATAACAGTTATATAATATAGTGAAAATAGGTAATTAGATTAATTATACCTATATTCTTTATAGCATTATTATTTCAACTTTCAAGTATAGTAAATTAGCAACTAACTAATATCGGAAAAACTAGGGTATTAAAAGGAATAGAGGATGCGTCGTACTAGCATGCAGACCAGTGGTGGTAAAACCCCCCCGATGAGGGGGATAGATCTACCTCATGAATTTTTTTTCAATATTTATAATAATTTATAATTAAGTATATTCTATAATGCATTACATTTTGTTGTAAAACAATACAACATTGAAACTGTTAAACGCAAATGTTGTAGGAACCTATGTTTGTAAGACTGAGACAATAAAATGTATTAACAATAACTGTATGTCAGTATGTATACTGTATACGCATACAGACTATACAGAGTGATTTAAATTAATTACAAAATATTTATTAACAAATTTGATTTACCTATTTATAAAAATGAATGGCCAATGAAGTCTCCACCCACATCCTAAATATACGGGCATGTATTTATGTAATTAGTAAATATGTATCATATTATAGAACTATGAACTTCGTCACTATTCGATATTCAATCGATAACTTCAAAAGACATCGGCATAGCATTGCACCGGATTTCAATTTGTTTTATGTCTTATATCCTAATAAAATATTGTGACCAAAACATATCGATTATCTGTTATGATAGTTTTTACACAATTTTAGTAAAATCGTAGGTAAACAATTTTGCTTCCGGCTTTGCTAGGGTGTTATATAATATTATACATAGAGTACGTACTAGGAACTACCTATATTATTATTGTAATTTGTAACCGTTTGAATAATTGGCTAGTAAATACTCTTGCTTATTGTTTTTGTATAATGTGTGCAGGATACCGCAGGAGTCGTTGATGGATGTGCTAGCGGCCTGTGGAACAAATGGTGGACGGACATCAAGCCCAGCACGCTGCGAGGCGGCGAGAAGGCGGCTGTTCGCGAGGCTCGCCGTTGCCTCAAATGCGCACATGCGCCATGCCAGCTGTCATGTCCAACATCCATCGATGTCAAATCGTTTATTACGAGTATAGCTAACCAGGTAATGTTGATTACAGTTTTTTTTTTCGGTTAAAAAGCTCGAAAATGTAATGCAAACAAGGACTGGAACCGAATCTAAAATAACCGGAACCGAAACCTTTATTTTAATAAATAAAGTACTGGAACCGAACTGGAATTTTTAAATTAAATAGGTTCTTTAAAGGTTCAAAAAAAAAATAATTTTATTTATCATAATTTAATAGTATTCCTGTTTATTGCGTAAAAACTAAATATGATCATATTATATGAGTTTTCTAATATTACTCATACTATTAATTAAACTCGAATTCCGGAAAAGTATTTAAAATTAAAATACTTTTCGGCACCTAACTTCTCTGGAACCGGTACTGAAATTATTTACCTACCTTTATTTTTTTATATCAAAAAACAAGAACAGTTATTTTATTTTTTGGAGAACCAGTACCGGAACTGATACCGATAAATTTAAAAGGTTCCAGTGCAAATTATATGATATCATTATAAACACGAAAAACGGAGACGGATCGTCAGTGTAGGATATATTATATTATTATTATTATAATACGGTAGTCGGTAAGTTGAATTAATATCATTTGTATAGGTATATAAGAAGTGTTAGAAGTTATAGGTTTAAGTATCTAATTACTCCCAAACTTTGAACAAAAAATCCTATTTAAGTGGAACCTTGTTTTAAATTTTTAATTCTTAGATAAAAAAAAATTGAACATTTTATAAATATTTAATTGCAAAATAATTTGTAAATGTTCAATATTATAAATTATAAATTTGAACTTTAAATACTTAAAGAAAAAATCTTGTGTATGCATTTTTTATATTTTTAAGTTAATATTATAAAAATCTGGAAGAGAGCATTGTTATTACATTTTCAAGCTTTTGACCCAACGGATTTTTAAGTATAGAAAATGATAAAATAAACATTTGGTGTAAATTTCAAGTAACTACGGTTATTAGTTTATGAATTCCAACCAAATAAGAAAATATCTCCATGGGAAATCGAGTAAATATCCAATGTTGCTTATAAACTTGAACTTCAATCACTCATATAAATTTAATAGGACTTTCCGGAAAATTTTTTTTTTTTTGATAAAAGTAGACAAACCTATGAGGAATCTTCTATTAAAATTAGTTAATTTATTCGTATGGAAATGAAAATTATTATCTTAGATCAGGGCTTCAAAACGTTTTTTATAAAGTTGTGAGTATAACGTTAAACGATTCGAAAAACGATTGAAAACGATAACGGATAACATATCGGTTAACGATAAACGATTGAAACGAATAACGGATAACCAAACAGAAAAGATAAACGATTAAAACATAATATAATTGCCTGAAAAAAAAAAATCAGTAAAATATATATTATGGTTATTTTTGTAATATTATGTTTTTCAATCATTCTGCAGTTTTGTGTAGGAAACAAGCTCTATCCATCAGATAACGCTAAACGCATCATAACGTTTAAATTTGTAAAACGTTTGAACGCTTAATTAACGTTTAAACTCATACATTGAATAACGTTTAAATTCTTAATAACGTTAAACAGTCATTCGATCATAACGTTTAATATCCATGTAACGGTAAACGGTATATTATTATTTTTGATTTAAGCTGTAGTAGATACCTATCAGACAATGAGACACACAAAAAAAAACCACACATCATTGTAAAATCAATACATTAATTGCTTCGCTCAGAACCTAAAATTACATAATAGATACATAAATTATGAACTTTATTTTTTTTTGTAGATATATTTTGAAGTAAATTTATACATTTTTTCAAATTGGATATTTAAACGACATATATAAGAGAAAATGAGGCATAATACAAATATATATTACTAAAAAGGTAGGCAAGTGGAAATCGCTCTGCTGTACCTACAGTATAGATTACAAGTTGGTCACTGTAAAATGGATATTATTACATTTAAATTCAATGATATAATATCATTGTATAAGAAAAACGATTCTGAGCGTATATCAGTCTAGTTATAAGACATATTATATACTTATCTATTTTATTAAAAAAAAAAAATCGTAGGTACCTATAATAAATTCCAAATTAATCATATCACAATTGCAATTAGATACCTACTTATAACTTATTATACATCAACAACAAACCATGATACTATAATAGATAATAGTATTATATATTGTATATATGTATAGTATTATAATAGTATACTTTAGAAGTTTCAATTACCCACGAATAATATTATACAATCACAACAAAATAACTAAAATAGTTATTCTAGGTTTTTAATATGTAATTACTTTAAAATTTGAACTTCAAATGACTATACAAATAAACTGTGCTTATGTATTTTTTTTAGATTTTTTGGTAATAGAATAAACTACTTACGCGGAATCTTGTTTTAAATTTTCAATCCTTAGATATAAAGGTTGAACATTTTATACATTTTTAACAACAAAATAATTATTCAATTTTAAATTTGATAAATAAAGTTTTATTGACATTCATAGAAAGAAAACTAATAAAATTGGAAATTGAAAATGACCCTAAACAGCTCAAAACAAATCAAGATATTTTGAAAGTTTTATCGTGTATAGAAAATTCAAATATAAACAACCAGTTAAAATTGCATGTATCTACGGTCATTTGTTTTAAAGATACGCCCATAATCAAAGTCGATTTTGTGGAAAACCAATTTTGCTTAAAAATTCCCGTTTTTCCTTAATTTTTACTTGGTTTTTCCGGGCGCTTTTGAAAACTATTGGGAATTTTAAATTTTGACCTCCCAAAAGTACCAACTAGATTCACTTTCCCATCGAACAATTGTTAATCTTAAGATACAGAAGTTGAAAATCAAAGCATTTTTTCGACTACTAATCGTGTACACAGACACAAAAATAAAAAATTAAAAAATCACATATCATTGTACAATCAATACATTCATCGTTCCACTCAGAATCTAAAATTATAATAATGGGAAATTGATGGTAGGTATATAAGTTTAATAATTATTAGTAGATTGTAGATATGATAACATAGTTTATGGAAAGGTAGTAGTGGTGCCGTCGTGGCCTTTCTGCCGAAAATCTTACGTAACGAAATTTTAATTTTATATTAAATATAAATTATTTCACAAAACTTTCATGAAATATTTCATATTTATGAAAGATAAAAAAAAATTTTAATTAAATACTATAGTAGGAAGTATACTGTAAACACATCTACTCATAGTTACCTAAGCTTTAACATAACAATATTATAGATATTTCATAAACAAGTGTTCACTGAAAAATATTATAGATATATCATCTATATCGTGATCTGAAATTAAGTGGCTGAAACACGATTGAGCATAAAACGCTTTTTTTTGCGACACGATTGAGCCAAATTGTCGGCGTATCAAAAGAAATCGGAATACATAAGAAAACCTACATGATTGAGAATAAAAAACTCTGCAACGTTGCCATTTTTCATTTTAAGTTACATTATACAAAATATTTATTTAAATAATTATAATAATTCAAAATATAACATATTAAAAAATAACATGATTTCATAGTCAATAAAATAGTCACATTTCATTAATCTGTTTGATAATAATAAATAATAATAATAGTAGTAGTTATGAAAATAATATACCTAGTCAAGAATACTATAGAGTACCTATACGGGTGATCGAACGCTGATATTATTTCTATAATAATTTCGGAATTGTATCTTAATTTATTATCTTATACTTTCCCCCGATTTTAAATTAAAATGTCAGAACTTTATTGCTCCTGAACTAGGTAATTTATTAATCGATAACATTGTCGATAAAGCTGGGCTCACCTCACGGCTCGCGTCTGGTATCATAATAATTGGTGTAATAATACTTGAAAATAATTAATAACAAAATTTTGGCCACTTGAATGTGGCAACATCGCATAAAATATTCTATGCTCAATCGTGTTGCTAAAAAGGTATATATGCTCAATCGTTCTTTACCGAATTAAAAATTGATAAAGCTTAGATAAAGCCATAAAGGTACCATAACCACTTATTCAAGTTAAGTAGGTACATTCAATCGCAGTTGTTGGTACACACTGTTATTGCATTTTAGGCAAACAGTTTGACAATTTGACATTTATAAAATATTTTAGTATTACTGAATAGGTATATTTAGGATTCTGAAATTTCATGAAATTTTTTTTTTTAATATTTCACAAAACTTTAATGAAATATTTCATATTTATGAAAGATAAAAAAATCAAATTTTAATTAAAACTATAGTAGAAAGTATACATTAAAGAAATCTACTTAGACAAGCTTTAACTGAAAAATGTTATAGATATTTCATATATATCGTTATCACTGATCAGCAATTTAATATTTATAGTTACTAATCATGTATGAAATCAGTGTGATCTTCAAGTGATGATTTATGAAATATATAAAAAAACAGCTGAAATGAAAACAAAAATTTAAAAAATTATATTTTTCAATATTTTATTGAAATATTTTAAAAAGGCTAAAAGTATTTCAAGTTTGAAATATTTAATACTCATAAGTTATAACCCCAGTCCCTATAGGTATTACCCTATACTATAGGGCCTATAAAGTTTCATTTCAAGATCAACTAATTTGTATGTACTATGTAATAGCTGGTAAAGAAATATTATAGGTAGAATGTTGAGCTCGGATACCTACAGTTAGATAAATATTTAAACATGTAATTAAATACTAATTACTATATTATATAATTTAAATGTAAAGACCAATAGATATAACTATTATACATAATATAGTTGTATAATGTAGATGGTAGACCAAATGTACCAAACCAAAATCCGATGACTGTCTGTAATAGGGATGGAAAACGTTTTTAATTTTTTCGTTTTCGTTTTTGATTATTGATTTAAAAAATATCGTTTTTAAATTTATTTGATTATTCCTTTTTTGATTAACATTTTTAAAAACGTCATTTTAGATTCTGAGTGAAACGATGAATGTATTGATTTTACAATGATGTGTTTTACAATATCAGTTGAAAAATATTAAAAATAAATAGGCATAATTTTTTTTTAGAAGCATTTAAACATCGAATTTTACAATAAAAAAAAAAAATTGTAAAAATACAATTTTTTTTTTTAATACCATAGATATGTATATAATTTATCTTAAACCTAGACTGACATAACGTCTTCGCTCAGAATCGTTTTTCTTATACAAAGATATTGTATCATTGAATTCAAATTTAATAGCATCCATTATACTGTGACCCACTTGTAACCAACCTACTGTACAGCAGAGCGACATCCACTTACCCACCTTTTTCTATATTGTTTTTGATTAACGTTTTTAAAAACGTTATTTTCCTATTGTTTCCAAATAACGTTTTTGATAATATTGTTTTTATTTTTTTATAATAGTAACGTGCAATATAGAAATGCACTTAAAAGTTAAAAATTTAAACTAATTATTCTTAATATTTAAATTTTAAATTAAAATCATAATTTATATAAAAATTAAAAATTAAAAATTTCTGATTTTAAATTAAAATGTTTTTAAATTTTAAAAGTGTATTATTAGTAAATATTAAAAAGTAAAAATTGAAGTGAAATTTTCGCGGTATAATTATAATAATGTATAATACTATAATTTATTTTCGTTTTCGTTTTTGATTTCGTTATTAAATATTTTTCGGTTTTGGGGATTTTTTGTTATCGTTGTTCAGTTATTTTTTGTTTTTGTTTTATTAATTGTTTTTGTTTTTATCCGTTTAATAACGTTTTTTAAAATCGTTTCCCATCCCTGGTCTGTAAAGATCATTGTGTAATGGTAGTATCGTATATAGCTATACAGCGCTTTATATTTATATTATATGTACGTGCACTACCAGCAGTATATGGCGGTGATCAATAATATTGTCATGGCATCAAAATAAAATAGATGATAGTATATCTACAATATTTGGGCAGTGGGCAGCTTATTTGAACCATATGCTGTAAGAAAAGGAGTGACGACTAAATTAAAACATCTCTATATATCTCGCTTATATACTTTAACCAACTAAGATCGAAGTATATTTTTATAATTACTTCAATTATACTGCAATTTTTAATGTCAATTTATTCAACCACCTCATTTAATCTGGACTTTTTTTTATTTATTTATATACATTTTATAATAATATTTAGGTACCTAATGAGTTAGAAAAATACAAATTATTCAACTCATCTGGCATCGGAAAATCACGCAAAAATGGTTATCATCGATTACACGGGGATTGTATATTAAATACGACAGTCTATATTATTATAATATTATTTAAAATTACATACAAATTCCACAGAACTATTATGGAGCTGCCAAGACGATCCTTTCAGACAACCCGGTGGGCTTGTCTTGCGGCATGGTGTGCCCGACGAGTGAGCTTTGCGCCGGTTCCTGCAATCTGGCCGGCTCAGACGGTGGACCTATCAATATTGGTGGACTTCAGCAATTTTGTCTGGAGGTAAGTGTTGTATTTTCCATACCGTTAATCTATACTGCCCGAATTGACGATTTGGTATCGTCTCTCAGTCAGCTTCAGTAGCTACAATAAAAAAGGCGCCTACTCAATCGCTGTGTCGTGTCGTGTTCCGTTTATTCAAGAGGTATACGAGGCTGGTAACATAACACTGGTAACACTTCATTAAAGCTGGATTCCCACTACACCGTGTCGTGTTCCTTATATTTAATATGAATGTAAACATGTAAATGTAACTATTTTTTTTTATAGTTACCAACTCTTTTTTTACCTACAAGTAAGAATATATTCAACTTTACACGACACCGCTGTAATATAGTGGGAACCCAGTCTTATCGACAAAAAATATCATGATTGGTACTTGTGGTTTGGATATCGAGTGTCACATGAATATGACACATGATCGGCCTACCTTCTTGGGCTGGGCGTGAGCGGACTGCGGTTATTAGGTTTCTTGTCGGATTTCAATATGGTAAAATTGAATCGTCTTCCATAGTGTCGCTGATGTGTTCTAAAATAACTCAGCGTTCGTCTCAATCCACTTACGCGACCTACATTCCACCACCAATTATTTAGCCCCTCTCAAATGGATAATGTCAAAAGCCAACATGGACACTTTAATTTTAATTTTTAATGTATTTTATTGAATTTAAGTAAGGAAATAGTAAGTCATATTTATATTGTAAACTTCAATAGTTTATCGTACTCACTACTCATCGTATATTAAAGGGCCAACTCGTACCTATATAATATTACATAAATACTTATGTAATAAAATGTTGGTAACACGTTACCTATACAAGTTGAATATAATATTCAGCGGTACACTACACAGTGTAGTGATAATCTAGATTTACAGTGGATATAACTAAGTGCCACATGTGCAGGTTTTCATGGATATGGCAGTGCCTCCTTCAGCAGTATCGTCAGACACCGACGGCGATGATGACGAGGAACTCGAAGATGGACCTCTGAAGGCCCGTGGTCAGAGTAGATTGGCACCCATAGCAGTGGTTGGAGCAGGTCCTGCGGGACTGACTTGCGCCACTTACCTGAACCGGCTTGGGTACCGGCGCGTAACGGTTTACGAATCAGGCGCGTATGCCGGCGGCCTTAGGTAAGTTCATATAGGTAGTCTGTTACGGATTTCCGCCAAAAGTATACCTTTCCCTTTTCAGACAAAACCATACTTTTATATATTCACTTTTCCGCGATTTTTTAAAATGTTAACAATCATAACTTATAACCACAGCTCATATAACGTACTTATGAATTACACACATTATAACTATTACTTCTAACACTATATCATCATAATACATTTATACAGCTCATGGAAAAATAATTGACTTAATATTTATAGATATGACGAATTTCATCAAAGTTTCAACCTATTTACGCTTGTAAAAAGAAAGTGACTTTTTACCTATGTATTTTTTAATATTTATTAATTGTGTTAAAAACATAATGTAACTATTAGAACTGTGGGGCTCGTAAGTACATGCCCTGAAAATTCTTAAATAATGTACTATATTATGTAAAAAAAAAAGTAAAAACTGGTAAAATATGCATTGAAAAATGCCTAAAAGATTTTAGAAATACGCATTTGTATGCACTAAAAATCTAAAACTATGCACTAAAAATACGTGGATTAAAAAAAGAAAAAAAACATGGGCAATTTTTGAAATTGCAAGAAATATAGGTAGATTAATATTTTTAATCATTTTACATTGCGACAAATCCATGCGACATTTCCAATATCATAACATGATATTATCATGTTCACTGAAATATAAAACAAGAATAATATAATATGGAACGTGCATTATTGTATACAATTCATTCATTAAAAAATGTTTAACTATAAAAAGCAGCTATTTTGATTCCATTAGCTATAATTTGCTTTGTAATTATATCATTATATTATGAGCATCAATACGATTCTTAGTGATAATTAGATCAATATCTATGCTTGTTAAGTTTATCAATAACAAAGTAATAAAAACATTGAATACAGAATAATATCCGACTCCGCTAGATATAAGTGGACCTGCTATATACAAGGTGATTCATTCATATCGTAAAACACTCATTATCTTTAAAAGTATTAATGTTTTTGAAAATATTTTTTGACATAGTTTCAAGTTGTTAAAAAAATCGTTTTTATATCCTTATATTTTTTTAAAAATTTGTACTTTTTTGAATGACAACATTGTATAGGTTTGTATAAGTATTTAAAGTTATAACTCATAAACTACTCGCCTTAAATTCGATTTTGATGAATCAAAATACTTCTGGAAAAATATTCTGCTTTGGAAAATGAAATTAAAACTCTAAAAAAGTAAAAACTTAAAAAATTATAAGGATAAAACATAATTAAATATATATTTTTTTAATAAAAATGTTGTTTTTCTAACAACTTGAAAGAAAATATTTTCAAAAACATTAATACTTTTTGAGATAATTAGTGTTTTAAGCTTAATGAATCACCCTGTAAAGCTTTATGGTGCTATGTGCATTCCACGTTAACAGTTCACGCTGTATCGTATCATTATTTTTGTCATGGTAATATCACTGAATGTCGTGTCTTGTCATATTTTCTGTGTGCACAGTGCCTCCGAGATACCAGAGTACCGGTTACCGTGGAGGGCGGTCCGTTGGGAAATCGAGCAGATGGTCGAGCACGGTCGAGGTGGCGTCCGCCTGGAGTACGGTCGTCGGCTATTTTCTTCCTCCGCCGAGGACAGTAAACCCGGTGACATTACTTTAAAGGTGCAAACCTATATATTATACTTATACAGTAAAACCTCTTTATAACGGACCCTTTAAATACAAAAATCATCTAACAGCGGAAAATAACAACGGTTCCGCATAACCAATATTATACTTCATATTTTAGTAAACAGAATCTCTTTTTATAACTAACAAATCAGTTGGTACTGGCTGATTCCGTCATGAGGAGGTTTTACTGTATTATGGCTAAAACGGTAATCGGACGTCATCAATGTTCTTTAAACGGCGGTTTACGTATGTAAAATTTTACTTTATCAAGGACATATTAGACGGGCCGGATGGCGCACAGGCCGTGTTCGTGGCCGTCGGCCTACCGGAGCCTCAACTTCCAGCCGATCTCTTCCACGACGTAGACGTCAGCAGCATGACGGCCACCACCCAACATCTGGGCGTGTACACTTCCAAATGGCTGTTGCGTCAGGCCTCGGGGTACTCCAAGCGGTTGCCCGACAACCGAGGAGGATGTGGCGGCGGTGGTTGTGGAGGAAGTACCGGTGACGGTGGCTGCGGGTCGAAACCTGCCACTGCGCCCCTGCCCCCAGATTTCCGCGGAAAAACCGTACTTGTGCTGGGCGCCGGGGACACAGCCATGGACTGCGCGACGGTCGCGCTCAGGTGCGGCGCCCGTCGTGTCCGCGTCGTCTTCCGGCGTGGCACGCCAGACGTGCGAGCCGTGCCGGAAGAACTGGAAGCAGCGATGCGCGAGCGTTGTGAGCTAGTTCCTCACTCGCAGCCGGTCCGGTTCTTGTTCCGCAAAGTTCCAGGTGGCGGTGCGGATCGGATCAGAGCCGTGCAGTTCCGCCGAACAGATGTGGATGACCTGGAGCCCCTGCAAGGCTCCACCGACGACGAAGACCACTCAGCCGACGACCTGTTCGTGTTGCGCGCCGACTGCGTTGTCTCGGCGTTCGGCTCACGGTTACCACAAGAAGGTAAGTTTCTCGCAATCGAATTCTCGGTGTTAAAAAGTAACTATAATTTAAGAAAATTGGGAGGGAGGTGATGGGATACAGCCGCTCTCTACATTGATAAATCCTAAATATATCACCGAGAGAGGTTGGGGTTAGTGTAGATACTAAAGATAATTAGCTGGTGAACTTCATTAAACGAGTTTATTATTATACGGTCATCTTTTTGCTGCTTACTTTCAGTGGCGGCAGCGCTGGCACCATACGCAAGGGTAGACGGACGTACCGGACGAGTGTGCGTCGACGCTCAAACCGGCCGCTGTGAGTGGTGGACGGACGATAGTGACAAAGTGGCTAACGAAAAACAGGAGCAGCGTGCCCCTCCACCGGTGTGGTGTGGTGGCGACGCTTCTTGCGCAACAGGATCTGCAGCAGATCCGTCGCAGACCACTGTAGAGTCGGCTAACGACGGGAAAACGGCGGCCTATCACATACACCAGTATCTGCAGGTAAACACATTGCTCCTATAATAAGAGATACGTCATGTATCAGTACGAATCTGTAAAACCACATATGACTTTTATAAGTCCGTTGTTACTTTGTTAGATTAGTTTCAAAAAAATAAACTGCCAAACTACTTGCGAACCGGCCTTATTCGAGATATTTTTATAATTACCTACGAACCTATCTATAATAATATTGGGATATTTATAAAATGGCCTTGATAACAATTTACTTGTCGTTATCTATTAGAACAAAATAGGTGGACACATAATAATCGTATTAGTATTTGTTAAGGAATAAAGTAAATTGATATAATTACATAAAATTGAAAATCTAAAACAATTTGATTTCATAGGTCATAAATAATAATTAATACATTTAAATTTTTTATTATGATTTTATGTATTTTTTTTTATATATTACCTATATCTAATTTTTTTTTATATTCAGAGGAATGCAAGCTTAATGAAAACAATAAACTTTATTTAGTTATGCCAACGAGCTAAGAATGTTATAATTACCTACGTTATATTATAATATAAACTATAAGTTATTAAACTATAGGTAGTTAGTTAACAAACAATATATTTAACTCTTAAAGTTTAATTGTTGATGAAAAATATTAGCTCAACTCAGTTAAAAAGAAGTTTTTTTCTATTACCTCCTGGGAGACCCAGAGAGTGATTAGATACACCTTTAATGTATTTTAAATAATGACTAAAAGATTTGTCAAAAATGCATTTTAATATTCTTTGTGTTGCACACTATAGCAGTACGTAGTGATGGTTTAGGTCACCACATGATTGTATCACCTATATTTATTTAACCAATGACTAAATTGGCCTAGTCCAATCCTTCGTGTGATGAACATTATTTGTGCAAAAATGTCTTATGGTCGGTTTTTTTGAGCAGGAGTTATACGGTTATCGTAACCAAAATCACCAACCATCCGTTTCGCGGCCAATGCTGCCAGGATTCCGAACAGCAATCGACGACGTGGACTTATCTGTCCGGATGTGTGGACTGCGGTTCATGAACCCGTTTGGACTTGCCTCAGCACCACCCACGACGAGCGCTGCGATGATCCGCCGAGCGTTCCAAGCTGGTTGGGCGTTCGCCGTCACCAAAACGTTCGGACTGGACAAAGATTTGGTAACAAACGTGTCACCACGTATCATAGGACTGGGTGGGCACGGTGTGGGAGTTGGTTCGGCTGCCAGTGGCTTAGGACCAGGTACTCTCGGTGCCGGAGACTCAGACGTTGCTAGAAATGCTTTTTTGAACATTGAATTGATTTCGGAAAAGACGGCCGCATACTGGTTGCGCTCTATTCGGGAACTGAAGCGTGATTTCCCTCAACACGTGAGTATAATATGGGTACATGGTGATTTACCAATCCTGATCACTAGCCTATTTTCTTTGTTAATGAATTTATTGAAATTACGATTTTTAGAATTTGTATGCATATACAAGAATCATATTTTTAAATAAGTTGTTGGATTTGTTATACTATTTAACGAGTGTCCTTTGGCATGCCAAATAGTTTCTTTCAATTGAGATACACACATTTTTGCAGTGCATTCTTTAGCAGATTACTCTTTTGAAGACCTTGATTTATATAAGAGTTTGGAAAATATAGGAATATTAGGATCTGTGTTGATTTGAAAACCATAGTAGTATGTGTAAAAATTTCCAGAGTATACCTAATACAAACTAAATTCAATATTAAACATATCATTTTATATTTATGTAAATTATTTAATTATTTATTTATCAGGACTTACTCGTATATCCTTTGAATTTAAATCGTTATCACTCAGAAACTACTCGTATGGATTTTGGTTTATATTTTAGACAAGTTGATGCCAAATGTCAATCAATATTTTGAAAAAAAAATGTTTGCTTAGCAATTTACAGGAAAAAAGTTGATTCTCATTTTAAAATAAGAACTTTATGTCGCTGCACAGGACATTCCATGGATGGTATGAAGAATCTAAGCAATTTTAAATATTGTCCTTTAAGTAGTTATAAGTTGCTTCAAGATTCCAAAAGTCAATAATTGAATGAATTAATTTTATTAAATGAAAAAAATGGGAGGAATATATATGTTTTTTTATTTAATATCACTTTTTACAATTATTACAAAATCAATGACGTACAAAATTGCATCGTTGCAGATTCTAATTGCCAGCATAATGTGCGCGTATATTGAGAGCGATTGGACACTACTTGCCGGATTGGCATGCGACGCAGGCGCTGATGCGCTGGAGCTGAACCTCAGCTGTCCTCACGGCATGGGCGAATCCGGAATGGGTCTGGCGTGCGGACAGGTATTGAATCAGTATACTGTAATATGCATGACGAAACATTATTGTAATAATACATATAATATTTGAATGTTTCCATATTATATATTTATTTATTTATTCCTTGCAACAATTAATAGTCATCACATTTTACAATTTAAAATAGTTAACGATATTGCAACACCTCATAAAAGTTAAGCTAGTGCGAGGGGAGCAGTTATTAATTATTATCAACTAACTATATACTTAACCCAATAACTGTAATATAAAATCTGTAACAGAAAGACTTAATAATCGGCGACCACTGTATCTAAATTTGCATTTTAACGAATTGTATTGAATCGTATACTTCGTGTCTCCCCTCGCAGGATCCGGTGTTGGTGGAGAACATTTCGCGATGGGTCAAGCGAGTGGCTGTGAGACCGGCCAGTGATGGTGGGACGCCAACAGCCGTGCCAGTGTTCGTGAAAATCACACCAAACGTTACGGACGTGGTGGCCGTGGCTCGGGCGGCTGTGCGACTCGGTGGAGCGGACGGGGTGACCGCGGTCAACACGGTATCAGCTCTCGGCCCGTTGGACGTTACCGGTAATGGCGGTCGACCGTGGCCGGGAGTCGGCAGAACCACCGCAGAAACACCAAGAACCACGTACGGTGGAATGTCAGGAACGGCAGTCCGGCCGATGGGATTGAGGGCCGTTTCGGCGTTGTCCCGGGCACTGGGGCCAGACGCGACGGCCGGTGGTGACGGAGGACCACCTGTCCAAATAATGGCCACGGGTGGCGTAGATAGCGCCGCGGCCACGCTCCAATACCTGTACTGTGGCGCCAAAGTCGTGCAGGTATACAATGGTCATGGTTGGGACGGTATCCGTCCAAAATAGTGAAACTGCAATGGTGAAACAATAATCACAAAGTAAAAAATATTAAAAACTGTAATAGCAAAAGTTATAATAGCGAAATCCAAAGAAAATTGCCCGCAGATAAATTAAAAAGGTGAAATATACACCGATAATAATAAGTATGCATAATTTATTAAGTAATAGTAACATTGGGAATGTTTAAGTTATGACAGTTATAAATAATGATATGTATTTTTACATGAAAATTAGACTTTTTTTCTTACCTTGGATTTCGCTATATTACTTTAGCTTCAGTTTGTGCTATTTTTTAACTTCACGACTATTACTTCGTTACTTTTATATGCACTTTTGCTATTTTGGTATACACCCGGATGTCCGATCGTGTCCCAGCAGGGTTCATAATTTTATTTACCATAGGTGTGCAGCGCTGTCCAGAATCAGGACTTCACGATCGTCCAGGACTATATCACCGGACTCAAGGCGTTGTTGTACATGACCGGCCGTGGCAGTGAAGAACAGCAGGTGGAACAGCGTCGCCCCACGGCCGCTCTGGTCAAGGACTCGATCGACCTGTCCGACGACTATGATATCGTATCGACGACGGCGGCGGTGGCCGATAAAAGCGGTGGTAAATTGATGTTCGGACCTTACTTGAAGAACAGGCGCTGTGAACAGGCGTCAGGTGCGGCAGCCGACATGGTCGACACGATCAAGGGGAACAAGTCGAATGGAGTCGATCGGAAGCCAGAGAAAACGGCTCCGGCACCGAAAGTGACCAATGACGGACTAGTTCCAGGCTCGGTGTCAACGCCCGTGGAACTGGTCGTGGGCCGCGCGCTGAAAGCCGTCGGTGCATACAAATCTCTCGACCGTCGAGCGCAAGTCGTGGCTCTGGTGAACGAGGTCAGTATGCGTAAGAAGTTTCCCTCCCCCCTCCCATTTTGTCCCAAGTTACACCGGAAAAATTATAAGTTGTTAAAATTAATTTGTGAATAATTTTGTGTTGATTTTCGGAATTCGTATGTTCCTCGAAGTTAAGTCGTAACCAAAATAAACTTAACATGGAGAAGTTAGCTTTACATTAACCCTCTCACAACTGTGATGAATTTACGAATTCTCTAGACCAACCAACAACATGACTTACAAATATCAAGCTTATAAATTTACGATTTGTCCGGTGTAATTTGGACAAGACGTGAGGGGAGGCTAACTTCAATGATTTATTACCGGAAATATTGTACACTTTTCTTGTTGGGTTGATATGCGTATTCGGTCGGTTGTTTGTGTCCGAGATGAAAATGTGCTTGCTGGCCGATCGAATTCCCATGGCCTTATATATGCTGTTTATTTCGAGTATTCTATCGTCACGTGATTTGTAGTCGACGAAGGACATTTGTATGAGCTTCACTGTGTGGCTCATCGTGTAAACGTTTTGTATATAGGACTCATGCATCAACTGCGGCAAGTGCTACATGGCTTGCAACGATTCCGGTTACCAGGCGATTAAGATGGACCCGAAATCACATGCCGTTCAAGTCCAACCTGACTCGTGCACGGGCTGCACACTGTGCTTGACGGTGTGCCCGATTCCCGGTTGCATCAGGTATGTACCCCGGAAACTGTGTTATAATCAAATATTATTATTATTATGTCTCATAATCCTGAATGTTGTAAGACACTAAGACCCACTTGAGTACAAACACACTATTTGAAAAAAAAGCATATACCTACTTACATATTATGACGATTTTCATTATTTAAAAAAATATTAACGTTTTTAGTAATATTTTTGTAATAAAAATATACTTTTGAGAATTTTAGATTCTGAGTAGAACGATGAATGTATTGATTTTACAATGATGTGTGATTTTATATTATTTTTTTAAATTTTTTTTTGTTTATGTTTACACGATAAGTAGTCGAAATAATGCTTCGACTTTCAACTTTAGTATCTCGTTTGATTGGAAAATGAATATTGTTGTTGGTGCATTGGGGAGGTCAAAATTCAAAGTAATTTTCAAAAGCGCCAAGAAAAACAAAAGAAAAATTAAGGAAAAACTCGAATTTTTAAGCAAAATCGATTTTTCATAAAATCGACTTTGGTTTTTGGTGGAACTTTAAAACAAATGAGCGTAGATACATGAAATTTTCACTAGTTGTTTATATTTCCATTTTCTATACATGATAATATTTTCAAAATATTTTTATTTGTTTTGAACTGTTTGGGAACATTTTCAGTTTCCCATTTTATTAGTTTATTTTTTTATGAATATTAATAAAACTTTATTTGTTAATTGAAAATACTTGAAAATTTAATACAAGGCTCCTACTATATTGTTACAATGACATTTGACAAATATTAAAAATCCTTAGTCACAGTTTTTTTTTATAATCATTTAAAGTTCAAAAATTGACAAAATATGGAAAAATCACAAAAAATTATCAAATTATTTTGAGTTAAGAGTTTTAAATCTAAGATTTTAAAATGTAATACAAGATTCCTTATAAGATTATCTACCTTAATCAATAAAAAAACGTCTATAAGAAAATCAAATTAAATTTGTATGAGTGTTTGAAATTCCAATTTTTACATCATTAGATGGATATGTAAAGTATTCATATTCTAAAATGTTCATAACTCACTTAAAAAGTAAAATATCGTAAAAAACCAATGAGAGAACACAGATGATGTTGTTACCTAAAAGTTTGATAATAGTCGATTCACTCTAATTTTAAAACTGACAATACCCTATTGAAACTAGCAAACGAAAATTTGCTATGTCGTACGTGTGTAAGACGGAGACAACACATCCGGGTGAGACGTCCTCTTAATGTTTATTTTATCAATTCTTATACTTGATAAAATTTTCAAAATATTTTGACTTGTTTTGAGCTGTTTTGAAAGTGTGACAATTTCATATTTCAATTTTGTTGTTTTTTTTTCTATGAATATCAATAAAGTTTTTTATCTGTTGGGCTAAAAATTATAAACATTTAATGCAAGGCTCCTGATATATTGTTACAATAGCAGTTGAAAAATATTAAAAATACATAGACACAATTTTTTTTTATACGCATTTAAAGATCGAATTTTGACAAAATTTATCAAATTTAAAATTGAATAATTATTTTGTAGTAAAAAATGTATAAAATGTTCAACTTTTATATCTAAGGATTGAAAATTTAAAACAAGATTCCACGTAAGTAGTTTATTCTATTACCAAAAAATTTAAAAAAATACATAAGCTCAGTTTATTTTTATAGTCATTTGAAGTTCAAATTTTAAAGAAATTACATATTAAAAACCTAGAATAACTATTTTAGTTATTTTGTTGTGATTGTATAATATTATTCGTGGGTAATTGAAACTTCTAAAGTATACTATAATATTTCTATTATAGTATCAAGGATTGTTATTGATGTATAACAAGTTACAAGTATCTAATTGCTATTGTGATATATTGATATGATTAATTTGGAATTTATTATAGGTACAATTTTTTTTTTAATACCATAGATTTGTATATAATATGTCTTATACCTAGACTGACATACCATCTCCGCTCAGAATCGTTTTTCTTATACAATGATATTATTTCATTGAATTCAAATTTAATACTATCCATTATACATTGACCCACTTGTAACCTACTGTACAGCAGAGCACCTTTTTTTAAGTTTATTCAATAAAACTCATGACCTTAATCAAATGTAATTTACTATGAATTTATAGATAGGTATAATCCTTTAATTCTCATAAACTTTAATCATTGGTGGTCAATCGTTAAGTTTCTGGCCCAACACTATGTTTAGTGTGTTAAATTCCCATACATAAGTTATACAATACTTTAACTCATCCACTCTAGACTGGTCAACTGGGAAAGTATATTACTTTAATAGTTGTAAGTTAAAGTAAGTTTTATGATGGGTTGAATAGAATCAACAATAAGTTATTATAAATTAATTTTACAGTGACCCACTTGTAACCTACTGTACAGAAGAGCGACTTTTTTTTATCTTTATCACTTATAAATGTTTAAGTTATTTTACCTTTTGATAACGTATGTTTTTAAAGTATGAAGAAATCTAAAAATGAAAATATTTTTGTGTACTTCGATAAAAATTGAATTTTGGTCACAGGGGTACCCTTCTCATACCAACTTTAATTAAGTACTTAAAAGTTATAACTAATTAACTACTTGTGCAATATTTGAATTTTATAAAAAATTAAAATATTCAGAATAATGTTCTGTTTTGCCGTTTTGGAGTATGAAATCACAAACGTATAACACACTCCTTGTCCTATATGACTCAACGGTACCTATGGTTATTATATTGTAATTTTTTTGTTTTCAGCATGGTTGAAAAGACGGTACCACACGTGGTTAACCGCGGTCTGGGACTCCGCCAGCTCGTGTCCACGTACGCTTGTCCTAACGACGGAGAATACATTGGCCAGCAGTGCTGCTCGGAGGAACAGAATGACCTCGGTAGTCCTGCGGTGGCGACTCAGTGACTGTCACGACGATGATATTATTCTCGCCGTCAAAAACATTACCTACACGCGTACCCTCGATCTATGTCAGCAGGTGTTAAATCTTTTGACTTTGCCGATCGATAATAATAATAACAATAGTAATAATAATAATTTATTATAATATATTTATTTATTATTATTATTATTATTATTATTGTCCGAATCTAATAGCGATTTATAAATATATACATAATATTTTATACAAATATATTAACTCATTTTACAACACAATAGGATTATTATAGCATGTAGTAATATCGGTATGTTACGCTTACGTTGTTTGTATTAAATGTAGCTGCAACTCGATGCAGTATAGACCTAGTATTATAGTAGGTTATTGTGTGTAGATGGGTTACATTATACATTGTACACATTGGAATTAGGTACTCATCACACCATTCATAATCGTATATAATATATTTATAATATTATCTTATTAATTATTGTTTTAAATAAGTTTAAATACCCGTCGATATAAAATAATAGTTAGTGTATAAAAAAAGTTGTAACAAGCGATAAAGCGATATCGCAATTTTGTAATGTATCTATATTATAATAATATGTACACGTGCGCAATATCATTATACCTATAATTTAATTGAAAATATTTATGATAACATTATTTATGCTATATAATATAAAATATTATGTATCTATATGAGCACAATGTGATGTATAAAATTATAAATTTCTTGCCATTTGTATTTTTTTTTATCCAAATAATTTATCCAGTAATATAAATTTAAATATTTATTTACTGTATATGATTACAATTACGAAACACTACTTAGGTACCAAAAAATAACTAATATTATAGTAATTACTTAAAATCAAATTAAAAATGTACAAAATTGTTGTTTATAATTAAAGAAAATATTTAAATTAATATAATAAAAACTCCCTGCTCGTTCCGCTTGATGTTAGCAACCTCCAAGGTGTTTCATCTAAAATGCTTTTTATAATTCAATACTCATATTTATGCTTAATATTAATTTTTTTCATATAATATATATAATTTATTATAAAACACTACTTTATATTATAATAGGTAAAAATCTCTGTCTTGTGTATGGAAAAGTTTTAAAATTGATTTAAAAGAAAACAGTTTACATTGGATAATTTCATTGGATATTTTTAATTTTATGATTGAAGAAACTAAATAAATTTAAATCAAATAAACTGTCTTGAATTATGGAATACATAATATTTAGTAATTACTTCAACATTTTACAAATTTTTCTTACAACAGTTTCTGTTCCAATATTGAACAGACATAGGTAATACACTTACAATTAAAATTTAAAGTTAATGTATTCTATAAAATAACAACGAAAATACAAAATAAATTACATTTGAGTACCTACTATTTATTGACATTTAAAACCTTGTATTATTATCCAAACAATATTTTTATGTTATTTTCCAATAAAAAATATTACATTTAAATTACAATAATATTTGTATAGTATTAATCAAGTTGTGAAATATCTAATAAAACTAGCATACGGAGATAATAAATATGGGAACAATCCCACCTTCTGCAGTTAGCAATTCAAATAGGAAAAAAAACATTACCTAGGTACCTACATTAAAATTAATTAAGTATACATTTACCAATACAATTACCTAATCTAATTAATTGAATAAGTTAGTCAAGTTCAGTATTTTCATAGTTCAGATGATGATTACATATTTTAATATTTTAAAATTAAATACCTAACAATAAAACAAACATCTTTGGAACACACTTCGCAACATTACTTTCTGGTGCAGTGTTCTCCGAGAAATTAGCTTATAATTTTATACTTTTTTAATAACTCATATATACATACACTCATATTATATACAGGGTAGAAATAAAGGTAATTCTCATATTTGAGATAATCGTATAATTATCTAGGTACTTACTATGGCAATTATACCTCGTTAAACAATAATATTTTTTTCAATCTTTCAAGGCTTATGATAATTAAAAATACTACTAAATTGGGTTCAAAATTAAGATATGATTTGATATGTAACATAAATTTACCACCGCTGTAGTGCTTGGTGGTATCAAATTTAATAAAAACAACGTTAAAAAAACTTAAAGTTATAATTGAATCACTAACTGCAGAAAGGGGGCAAGTCCATTTTTATCAATTTTTAAATTTATCACCGCCGAGCACTATATAATAAAATTGTGCTTAAATTATGTTTTTATTGGTTTTGATTGTGTTTACGACATTAACTTTAAGTACGTTAAAACAGAAAGAGCGGCTGATTCTGCAGCTTGATCACTGGTCAATCCGATACCAACAAACCGCAAACCGTCAATTATGTTTACTTCTGCCATATTTACTACGCCTGACAAAAAAATTTTACTTATCTATAGTAAAGATATCAGATTTTAATTTTAGTTTATTTCATACCTGGAATTTCACTTTGGAAGTATGTAAAGCTCAATTTTTCTCTTGATGCGAGTGTGTTCAACATAGCAAAGGCTGAAATATTTTCAAATGAATCTAATTCCTGCATACACATAAACAAAAAAAAAATAGCACAATATTGTTAATAACTTCTATATAGCCGAATACATTACAATATAATACTTTTATATCTTTTAGACAAAGACTATTGTGTAATCGATCAAGAAACTCTATGACGCATTTCAGAACGGCAGGTGAAGTAGAAAACACCAATGTCTTTTTGTTATCGAAATTTTTATCTGGAATTATATGTTTGCATTGCTGCAGAATGTTATCGATTTCGTCTTTTGACAAATTGAATATTTGTTCGTACATTTTTTGAGCCGCTTCAGCTTTAGCAACACTTTTCTTTCTCCCGTAGCCTGTTTAGAAATATTAACGTTGTTTTCATATTATATATAAACAAAAACAATAAACAATTATTACTTTAAAATGTATTACCTATGGATTTGTAAGTCATCGTGGAGCATATCGCTGTATGTAAAGCCTCATCGCCGCATAACCCTTTTACCATTTTTCTAATATAATCGTATTTTGGAATATCCCACTGACGAATTTGGCATAGGAAATTAATACTATGGATATACCGGTTGTCTATAACCGGCTTTATATTCATATTTGATGGATTTACGCAGTTTTCCCTGAAAACGAATAGAACATAAAATATACACTTTACCACATTTATCTGTTTGTATTTTACATATAAAATTAAAATACTTACATTGTTTTGTCAGTTGAATAGCCCTCGTTATCATATTTTGTGGACGTCATGGGGTCCATTTTAAATGACATTACACAACAAATCTTGATTACAGAAATCAATGATCAATCTGTTTTTTCTATCCAATTGCAAATCCTAAAAAATCAATAAACATAAAAAAAATCACTAGTATTAGATACGTTAAATTTTAATTCAATAACAAATCATTGAATAATATTATGAAAATAGCTTAAATTATGAATCTTTATATTTTGAAAATATCAATAAAATATAACAGGATTGAATGTAGGTAACAGGAAGACTTAAATAAGATAGGTACCTAACTTTTTTTTCAATTCATATTTTTAATTTTTTTTTTAATTTATAATTTATTTGTTTTTGTATTACAATAATATACACTTGTAATATAACATTTTTTATTTTTATTTTTTACTGAAAATAGAAAATGTATCTATTGTAAATGATCTATGTACATCTAATGTATCTTTTTTCTAATGTTAAGTACACCCGCTTACAGGAGACGTTGACAGGAATGGATATTGGTAGTTGTAATAATTATTGATAATTTTATTGTTGTTTTATTAAATGTGTAAGCTAAATTTCACAAGAAAATTTGAATTTATACTGTTTAGACTATTTAAATCAACGAAGATCTCTGGTACGTTAGAAAATAAGCGATTGCGATTTTGTTTTTGTTTTGATTTATGAATAATTGGTATAATTAATTAAAATATCAAAAATCCAGGCCCATTCGTTAACAGAACAGATTCAACTCTCCTCTTCAACTTTTATAAGAGGTTTTTTGCTCTGAAATCAGACAGTCAGCCATGTTTTTATAACTCAACAAATAAGTTTTTACTCACAACCGTGGCTGTCACGGCAATACGGTAATGCAAGGAAGGTCGCGGTCATTGTAATAAATCATTTTATTTTGTTTCATTTCACGTAAATAATAATATGAATATAATACAGTCTCGTCATGAAAACTTGGGGATGACTCTAGCTCCTAAAGTGGCGTTTTTTCGGTAGGGCTATAGTAGTTTAGATAGCCCTACCACTGAACTAAATACATGAAATGTGTAAAATGAGACCATATGGGAGCCGCCATATGCATTCCGATTTGATTTTTAACATTAATATTATGATAATGATAACAATTTTCATAAATAACATAACATTTCACCATGTTTTCCCTTGACTCGGAATCCAAATGCATATGGCGACTTCCTATGAGGTTCATATTTTGAACAATGCACGTGTTCCATGTATTTAGTTCAGTGAGCCCTATCGAAAAAACCCCACTGTAGGTGCTAGAATCATCCGCACGTCTTCGTGACGCGTACTGAAGGTATATCGTCCAGAAATTTCTTGTTATACCGGTATACACCGATTTGGTATACGGACCGCCGGTTTTGACCTTTAGGCGACCGGCTCGCTTGGATGGAAGCTAGGGGGGGACAAACGCTGCCGCTAGAAACGAGAGCCGCGCATGGTCGGTGTATGGGGGTAAATCAATAAGACCGTTATTATATATAAATCAGTTAATCAGATGACCAAAATAACCAAATATATTTTCAATGTGGCGATAACGAGTTATTTGAGTGGTTTTAAATTTAAACTTTTTGAACACTTGCACTTTTAACCTGCAGTATACACAATTTACATTTGACATTCACAATATAATATTTTGACTGAATAATTAGTTAGTGTATCTAGAATCAACTATTGGTTTGTCTTAACATGATATTGGACATTTAATTTACAATACCTTTTCTGTACCACTTTTGTTCAAAATAAGTCAATTGGAACTTGCACATAGCCAAGGTCGCTTAATATCTACTATTCAACCACATATTACTACATCTTTATCGTATATCTGATTGAATGCTTCTAAAGCTATTGATTCATTAATCATTTGACTGACCAATTGTACTATTAAACACTTCAATAATTTTAAAAATTATGAACTTTCAAATCAAAAGGAAATATATATTATATCACAATAAAATAAAATATTAAATAATTTACTAAAAAAATGACTACCTACACTTTTAAAAATAGAAAAAATATATATATAAATTTATATAATAATTTAAAATATTTATTATTTAGTTATTTATTATATAATATAATATTTTGTCTCCAGGAAGAATTTCAGAGATTATCCACTAGAGTGCGCTGTATTTCAAGTGTGCGGTGTCTATCTAGTAAAAAGAATACTTCGGGATTTTTATTTTCAAGGTTGGTACCACGATATGACATAGTTCTTATAATGATTGGTATAACTGTATCTTGCCGGCGCATGACAGCCGTAATTAAATTTTTTTTACTGTGTAACATGCCAATTTTGTTCCGATAATACGGCTTATACAGAATGGTTTTAGAGCAAAACACCTTAATTAAAAGTTGTAGGGAAGAGTTATATCGGGTGACGTATAAGACTCGATTTTCTATATTTCATTCTCAAAATCGATAAAATCGGTTAGCGTTTTCACTGTTTTACTTGTGAATAATTGGTATAAAAAATTTAAATATCAAAAATCGAGTCTTACATGTCCCCCGATATAACTCTCCTCTACAACTTTTAATTAAGGCACCTATTTTACTCTTAAACCATTCAGGACTATTGGAACAAAATTGGCATGTTTTTGTACGATATTTTCGCCCGTGTGGCGTACTCTTAATATTGTATCGTAAATATATTATAAATCAAACACGCAGAATAAACGAGATATTGAATTGTGTTCTTTCGAGGAAGTAATGTACATAATATGTATTGTGTATGTCATAGAAAGATTTTGTATAATCAGAGCATAAATAATAAGATGATTTGTTTGTTTTAGATAATCATAGAATGTGAATTTTAAACCAATAAGACCATACGTGGTGTATTAAATTAACTCAATATTTAAATTCTATTTTGAATAATAAATAACTTACGGTAGAAAGTCATTCGCTCGAGAAGAATAGAATGAAAATGTGTGTATGTCTTCGACGTTGAATGGCGTAGGTCTTGTGTACTGCTCCGATTCTGAGGACACACTGGCAAGTATATAGAAGCATTGTGCCGGTAGAGGTATACACTGCTCTGCTTGTGGAATGTTCTTTGTTGCTATACAAGCAGTTGTGCCCCCTCTTAGATTATCGCTGCGCAGCATAGCTGCTAGCCGCTTGGCCTTGACGCTCGTTTACGCATTGACGAATATCTATTGTTGTATATTATTGATGAGTAAGCACATAATATTATATTACTTGTGCTTGTGATTTGCTTAAAAAATGTATGTATTTGTAATTTGTGATATGTAAAATCGGATGCTGGCTGGGTGATTAGTCTGGAACGTGTAGTTGTTTTAATTACATTGTTATTGTAGACGATTACGTCATGTAACATGTTGTACATATCCATATAATTTTTTTGATAAATGCCGTGAGATGGTGTGAATAGTGTAATCAATTTGTATTACCTAGTTATTAAAAAATTATATTTTTTTAGTCTGATTGTCTTTTGTGTCTCGAAATATGGGCATCATTAATGCGTTTATGACTGTGAATTATAATATTTTGATATTAAATAACAGTACTATTTTTAAATTGCGTTCTGATAATCTGCATCCGTTTGCGTTTATTATTTTGGGTAGTATTCTTTGACGTGGTTGTGAGATTGTAACGAGACACAACTGCCCCGTAACAAAATATATTGTAAAAATGAAATAGGCCGCGTCATCTGGTGGTGCGAGCGAGGGTCACGATCAAAATGCACAACAACCGATACAAAGTATGTACAGAGTGCATACTCATTAAACACGGGGCCACTACGCACAAAATTACCGACAAACCACCACTTAATCGGTAATTAAGGAGGCCCGGTAACCACGATAACATTACCCCCTATCCGTTTACTCATAAAAGTAAAACAAGACATCAAAATCGTAGAAAACACGTTCACGAAGGTGTCACAACTCAATACAGACACCAATAGTGCATATATATAAATACCAGCCGATTTAGCCTAATTAAGGTGCGTTACATTAGGCCGTGAACGCGAACAAATGGTACAAAACGCTACAGAACGAATGTGAACGCATATTCGCTTGACATTCGGCAGCGACCGTTTACATTGTTCGGTCGTTCGTGTTCGCCAGTCTTCGCTTCCACAAAAATCTTCGGTTCCAAAAAATACACCTAAGTTAGTTAGTATCGATACAGCTGCTGTCGAGTAAGGACTGTTGATTTTTTGACATTTAAGTGAAATTTAAATCCTTTTAACCAGGAAGAAATTTATTTGTGTTTAATTTGAATATTTGTAATTTTTATAATTAAAATGTCATCAAGTGAAGAAGATGATTTGTTATTAGCTGCTTCAAGTTTTATGCTCATGAAAGCATTAATAAAAAAAAACTTCAAAGACAAGAAGAAAACATTGCTGGTGGATGACTTCGTTGTACAGTAACAGAGGACTGTTTAGAGGAACTATGTTGCTAAACGACCTACGAAAATAAAGTGGTGAACATTTTAAAAACGGCTGTAGAATGTCATATGATACATTTAAACAATTACCCACTTTAATTGATCCTAAAATTAGAAAAGAAAATACGAAGTTTTGAAAAGCTATACCCTCTAATGAAAGGCTAGCATTGAGATTAAGATACTTGGCGACACGTGATTCATTTGCAAGCTTGTCATTGGTTTTTCAAATTAAAAAATCATCGATTACACATATTATACAAATATATATATATAATATATATAATATAAGTAATTGGTAAAACTATTGTGATATTATTAAAGGGGTAAATGTTGTGAACAAAATTTGAAATTAAAAAAAAAGCGGGAAATATTGTTTTGCCAATTTCTTAAACTTAAAAACGAGAAGCTGTTTTTTTGTGAACAGAAATTTTATCTAGAGGTATCACTGCATTGAACCTCGAAGATTTCAAGACGATACGATCAATATTGAAGTTTTTAGGTTTTCTCGATATATTACGATTTTGAAAAACCCAAAACCTTCAAAAAAAGTACTATAATTTTGAAGCCTTCGAGGATTTCTTCATGACTGAGCATATAGTCCAATTTCCCTTTGCCCATATCAATCATTTTGGTGACCGATGCTTCTCAAAAACATCAAGAGGTCCTGTTCTTCATTAAAGAGCTGGACATTTTGTGCAATTAGATGAGTGGCTAAAATTCGTTGTGATCTTGATATGCCATCTCTAACCTATTAAAATTAATAATTTTTTAAATCAATTAAAACAAGTTTAATAACCATTTACAGTGAGATTATTCCGTACTTGATTAAACTCAACTGTGAAAAGTTTTCAGTTGAGTTTATTTCCCTGAAATAAAGTATGTCATGATTACTAATGGACAAATTATAGAACATTGTTATGGATATATTATAAAAATTACATCAATATTACATAATTAATATAGTTTATATTTTTATAAAGCTATATTTAAGAAATATTATCTTTATAGTATAAAATAAACATTTTAATAATCCAGAAACTACGTAATAAAATTTTGATTTATATACATAAAAAATGTTAAAAAAATTACCAGCTAAATAATTTGCACTAAAAATAGGGTTCTCAAATGGAAATCACCACAGGGCACTCCTTAAATAATACAAAAAGTATCAGGTACTTGATGAAATATATTCTTGAAATCAGATTTTGAATAAATGTATTATTAAACAGTATAATGGGGGAGAGCATTTTTTAAAAATCACGCTGTATAGTCATGGGAATTCATTATGATACTAATTATTAATTATATCACATGGAAAAGTTTTTTTTCTGAAAAATATTTTGTATGGATTTTCCAAAAATAAAAACAGTTCCAAAACGTAATGAAATGAAAAAAATTTGAGTATTTAACTTAAACACATATTTACATTTAAAGAGCTTTAAAAAAGTAAGAACATTAAAAATAATTTAGAATAGTGGTTGTTACAACCCAATTTGTCGGAATATGGTAAACAATTATTCTCTATTATATGAAAATGTTAATTCATAATTGCATTTTGAATGCATGCTTACATGATTATTGATTTATAACAAACAACTACTTAGTTAAATAAGCTGGATACAAGCAAAAAAAAAGGAAACTATTATTAAAAAAACAGGTGATCCTAGTATAGTCATTACAAATAAATCCAAGCAACTACAATAGTATAAAGAAGCATGCTTTAAACAATGTTACCAAGAATATAATAAACCTAACGTAGGCTATAAGAAAAGCAAAATATTGGATTTGTATTGCTTATAAAAATTAACTAAAATTCAAATACACATAAATTGACTTATTCATATCTTATACTCTGTTGAACATATAAATCATAAAACACATAATTGCAAACACTTAGGACAAAGATGCAACACATGAAATCCTAAACATTAGGATGACGTCCCATTTAAACTAGTAATGTCGAATGAAATGATTCCAAATAATAATAATAATTATCTTAATTGCGCCATTTTAGATTCAGAGTGAAACGATGAATATATTGATTTTATAATGATGTGTGTTTTTTTTAATTTTTTAATTTATTTTTGTGTCTGTCATCACGGTTTGGGGCAGTAAAACTGCTTCGATTTTCTTCAACAGTATCTTGTTCGATGGGAAAATGAATCTAGTTGGTGCATTCAGGATTTCAAATTTTAAAATTAGTTTTCACGAGCGCCTTGAAAAACAACATAAAAATTAAGGAAAAACGGGAATTTTTTCACTAAAATATGTTTTCCAAAGAATCGATTTTGGCTTTTGGTACAACTCTTAAAAAATGACCGTAGGTACATAACATTTTGACTGAATGTTTATATGAGCATTTTCAATACACGATAACATTTTCAAAATGTTTTGATTTATTTTGAACTGTTTAGGCACATTTTCATTTTCATTTTTTTTTTAGTTTTTATTCTAAAAATATCAAAAAAATGTTATTTATTGGTTTCGAAAGCTGCTTGAAAATGTAATAGAAGGCTCCTAGTATATTGTTTCAAAGGCAGATGAAAAATATTAAAAATCCTTAATCACAATTTTTTTTATAAGCATTTAAAGTTCAAAAATTGACAAAATATGGAAAAATCACGAAAATTAGCAATATATTTTGAGTTAAGAATTCGTAAAAATTTTTCTTTTTAAATCTAAGATTTGAAAATTGAATACAAGATTACTCATAAGCTTGTCTACCTTTATCAATAAAAAAAATCTCTACTGGAAAGTCATATTAAATTTTTATGAGCGTTTGAAATTCAAATTTGTACAACATTGGATATTCACTCGATTTCTCATGTAGCGATTTCCTTATTTTGTTATAATTCAAAGAATTGTATATTTAAAACAAAGGTTCTCATAAATAGCTCATACTGTAACAAAAAAATTTAAAAAATATATGAACAAAGGATTTTATTACAGACATTTTAATTTTTAAATTCAAATTTTGACGAAATGATATATTAAAATCAATATTAACGATCTTGGTTTTTTGTTATAATTTAAAAATATTATTCAGGGATATATGAAACTGAAAAATCAAAATATTATGGCCTATCCATACAATCTACCATATATTATTAGGAATAAGAAGTATGCTCAATGATAAGACTGTGCATATTTTAAGTTACAATGAATAATTTATTCATAAATTCCATATAATTTAATACCATAGATAATATGTCTTATACCTAGACTGACATACCATCTCCGCTCAGAATCGTTTTTCTTAAACAATGATATTATATCATTGAATTCAAATTTAATACCATCCATTATACAGTGACCCACTTGTAACCTACAGTACAGCAGAGCTACATCCACTTACCCACCTTTTTTTAGTTTAAATTTGAACTAAATTTTTTTTTTAACTTCTTTGACTTACAAACTATAAAGGTCTTTTTTATTTTAAAATTGACTAGAGTAAGTTAAAATTTGAATATTGTGCATGTATTTGTCACATTTATTAACAGTATAGGTATCAACGATTTCATAAATGTCCATAATACTATGTCAATATAGACTTATTTATGTGATTTCATATGATTAGTACATTTGCTGAAACTTAAACTCGCTTTAAATCAGTCTATTATATTTTGTATTACTTAAATTATAGGTAGGTACACTATACTGTTATAATACCTGAAACTATTAGTTAGGTATG